CCATGTCATCCTTACTTTCAAAGTGGTATTTTTATCCAACAGAAGCTCAAGGCTTGCAAAGCAGGATTTGCAGACACGTTTAATTAGCTAGGCTTTTTTATTTTTATTTTTTTATAGTTTAGAGAAGTTTTTCAAGGAAGTTTATGCCAATTTTCTTTAAAAGCTATTTTAGCCAGACAAGCATTTCCAGAAAAAAATCATTCACATATATTTAGAAGCAAATTTTTAGACTTAGAAATATCTTTTGATTTTTCAGAAGTTTTGCCAAATGTTTAAGAATCGGTGGTGCTAGTGGTACATAGGGTTGTACCGAAGCGTGTACACCCTTCTCACATGAGGTGTGAGATCCACCCGAATAAAAAACACTTATTCGGGTGGACTCCACACCTCATGTGAGGGGGTGTACACCCTTATGTACACTCTATTATGTATCACTAGATTAATTGTTTATGAAGCGTTTGATTCTGGATGTTTGTGAAGAGTTCGTTTTGTGCTGTCTTTAGTAGAAATTTTAGTCTAATTCATGTTTGCGAATTTATTATCCAACAATTTTAAGGTTCCGTTGATTCCCCTTTTTTTCAAAATACATTTTTTCTCTCTTCTTTTCAACCACACATTCTTTATTAAAATAATATTACACATAAATAAAAAATGAAAATTCTTATTTTTCGTCCACACATTCTTTATCAATTTACTATTCTAAAATTCATTATGAAAATGGGTGTCAAACACCCTCTAAATATTTTTCAAAAGAATAAAATTAAACATATGTTCATATATAAAAAAAGGGAGTTAAATGTTTTATTACTCACTAAATTTATACCTCAGTCACCATTTACTCACTGAACTTTAAATACTTCGAGTGGTCACGAATTTTAACACATTATATTTCACTACTCACTCATCAAGTTTTATAAGTCGCTAAACTTTAAAATAAATTCGAGTGGTCACTGAACTTTAACACGTTACACTTCGTCACTCACCATGTTTTTTAAGTAATTGAACTTTAAAATATTTTAAAGTAGTCACTGAACTTGCACATTGCACTTCATCACTCATTGACTATGTTTTATTAATTATCGAACTTATACTTCCTTTACGATTTACGCACTAAATTTTAAAATGCTTTTGAATAGTTACTGAACTTCATAACGTTTTCAATTAAAATTAATTTTCTATGAAATTTGATCTAAGTTAGGAAAATAAAATAAAATAAACATCAACTAATTAATGAGATTCTCAATCTAAGATGAGAATATTGATATTTGTCAAAAAGATATAATGTATCTAGTCATCAAAAGCTATGTTCAGGGAAATGAAGAATACTAGTTTTAAATTGACATAAATCTTAATTTAGATTATAATCTTTCTTTAAGTCGAGAAAATAAAATAGAAAAATTATTTATTTATTTCGATTGAGACCATACACCCAAATCAGGGAATTTTTTTATATATCAAATGGATAGTGAAATTTTTTATTTACATTCAATAATATTAATTAAGACTAATAAAATATAATTTTAAGAGTTGTCCCAAGGTAATTCAAAAGGAAAGAAAGTCACCATTTTTGTGTATGGTATTTTTTACTTAAAAATTTTCAAGAACAGATGGATTCAATGAGTCTTCAATGACCGTTTAAAAGCATTTTAAAATTTAGTGAGTGAAATGTGATGGAGGTATAAGTTCAATGACTATTGAAACATGGTAAGGTAGTGATGGAGTGCAATATGTTAAATTTCAACAACAACTTGAAAGAATTTCAAATCTAAGTTACTAATGAAGTTTGGTGAGTGACTGAGTGAGTAATGTAGTGTATCGTGGTAGAGTTCAGTGACCACTCAGGAGTACTTTAGCTCTCGTTTGGCCTCTATTAAATTACATTTCATTTGTTTCTTTTCTATTTTTCAATCACACAATCTTCCATAAAATAATATTACAGTAAATCGAAATCTTTTCCTTCTAATTCAACCACTAATTTTTCAAAAAATACTATTTCATCCATTTTTATTTTCAAAAATGAGGGCCAAACAGGGGCTTAAAGTCCAATAAGTAAAACATGCCAGAGATATAAGTTTAGTGATTGATGAAAATTTTAACTCTAAAGACAGTAGGTATATTTAAACAATATAAAGTGAGTAAATATGTATGTCATTTAGTGAAATTTTCAATATATAATTTCTTGCATGATTCATTTTTTTAAAAAAGTGAAATATTTACTTATAATTAAAATTTTAATTTATAAGTTAAATATTATTAAATTTTACATTTTATAAATGAATTTTTATCTTATCAGTATTATTTTTTTTCCCTTTATAAGCATTTTTCACATAAAAGTTAACTTTTGTCTTATAAGTGATTTTTTTTTACTTATAATTAAATTTTAGTTATGAAATAATTTTTTAGTTATTGCATTTTTATCTAAAACATTTTTTTTTTTTTTTACATATAATTGAATTTTTGTCTTGTAAAATAATTCTTTTAATGGATAAAATAGGGAAAAAAATTTGAAAAACATCCAAAAACCATAGATTTGAATCATTTGATGTATATCTTCTACAAAACATTGTATAATACTGTTTTAATACATATAATATATTTATAACCATGAATTATTCAACTATGCGTTCCCCATCCTTTTGAAGCGTCTCCTGACCTTAACTTATTGTTCTTGTGCTTAAGAGTAACATCTCCTATTGTCTAGTCATTTTGAAAAATGATAGATCAATTTAAACAGAATCTGACATATCAGTCAAGTCATATCAGACACGTACAACATTCAAATTCACATGTAGATCAAATTTATTTTATAAAAAAATCGACCCATAAAACTTCTATAGAATAATAATAGGAGACTTATTATAATACCACAATGGAACCACATCTAAAGATTCAAAATCTAAAAGAGAAAGATTTGTCAATATATTTATATCTTCACTAATCTTATAGAATTTTAATTTATGTTCCAAACTTATAGAGACAAACCTAACTCTTTGGTTCAAGAATCGTAATCAGCAAAACAACCATGAGATTAAGCGTGTCTAGGTCAAACAACTATAAACAAATTTCTGCTTTAAGGCTGAGGAATATAAATTAATAAAAAAATTAACTTCCCACCTTTAACAATATTTGTCTATCCATTTCTAAGAAGAAATATGGCGAGTATGATGTAGATTTGCTGAGAATAAAAATTTTCAAAATTGTTACTTTTTAAAGAATACATTATTAAAAAGTCAAAAAAAAAAAAAAAGTTATGGATACTACAAATGTATATTATTTTCTTTGAGAGAATGTGTTGTTAGAAATGAATTTGAAAAATAAAATAAAATAAAAGATAAAATTTAAAGAATTTATACCAAGGAACTAATTAATTTATTGCACCCAATCATTTACCGGAATTTTCATTCAAAGCAACTATTTTTCATTCCAGGAGCATATGTCAGACGCATTTCCATCTTATTACTCCTGTATTTTTAATAAACAATCGCCATCCCCTGTATGCACGCTTACCTAATCAAACGATAGGAGAGAACCTCTATTCCCTAAGTTATGGTGTTATTTTGCGGAGGCTAGTGGTCTCACGAAGGAATAGTTTCGCATATTGGTATATGCATTAATAGACAAAAGTAAATATGATAATAGATAAACATCTCAAGTTTCTTCTTTATCCTATATCTATTGTCACCGAGTATATTATGGCAATCACATCGATTAAATGTCATTGGAAAAAGCTTCAAAGAATAAATATTAGGGTCGACAAACTTATTTCCTATTCACCATGAGCTTACACAACAATCTCTCTCTCTCTCTCTATATATATATATAGACACACACACACACACTAATAGTTATAGAATTCTATATTATACCTTTCACTTGACGAAAAAGCTGAGGATCATGTTTGGTTTTGCGTAGCTCTCATGTTCAAATTTACTAATAAATTTATACAAAATTTCGCCGTTTTAACTTTTTGCTTCCTTTATTCTTTTATACACTTCAAGTCTTTTTCAGCATATTGCTTGTAAGCTTTAGTGTGCACCTAATTAGCAAAACCAGCTCTCTCCTTAACAAACTGGTGGTTTGTCCTAACGAAGTAACCTCTTTCGAAATCCTATAAAATGTTCAAAAGCTTTCAGCATAATACCATCGAATACTAATAAGCATTTACGCAAGAATTTGGGTCGGGATAATGGGTCGAAGAAACATTTTCCAGTCGATTATTCCTTTCCTTTTCGTGTGTTGTATTGGATTCATCTCGACTCCAGTCAAAGCTGCTGTCAAGAAATACCAGTTCGACGTGAGTAGATTTCATGCAATAATTTTTCGTGTACCTAAAAATGTTTTCTTGCCTAACTTTCTTCTATTCTATACACATTTTCAGATTCAAGTAAAGAACATCAGCAGATTGTGCCATGCTAAGCCTATTGTCACTGTAAACGGAATGTTCCCTGGGCCAACAGTTTATGCTCGAGAAGGAGATCGAGTTCTGATTAACGTTACTAATTATGCACGATACAACATGTCAATCCACTGGTATGAAGTAGAACACTGAAAGTTCGACTCGACTGATACAAATATGTTATATTCGACTAGTGATCGTAGTACAATGTGTGTTCTTTGCAGGCATGGATTAAAGCAATATCGAAATGGCTGGGCAGACGGACCGGCTTATATAACACAATGTCCTGTTCAGACAGGACATAGTTACACCTATGATTTTAATGTAACAGGACAGAGAGGAACACTATGGTGGCATGCACATATTTTTTGGCTAAGAGCTACTGTTTATGGTGCCATTGTAATAATGCCGAAACAAGGGACACCATATCCTTTCCCTCAGCCTGATTCTGAATATAATTTAATCTTAGGTCAGTCTTAGAAAAAATCCCATTTTTTACATTTTTCGTCCTGATGAGACCTAATCGGCTCCAAATTGCATTTTTGGTTGAAAAACACAGGAGAATGGTGGAATGATGATGTTGAAGAGGTTGTTAAACAAGGTAACAAACGGGGATTGCCTCCGAAAATGTCGGATGCACATACTATCAATGGCAAGCCAGGACCATTATTTCCATGTTCTGAGAAACGTAAGTAGGTTTGACTCATGAGAGAATGTTCGTCTAAGATTAAATATAAAGATAATTATTTTGAAAATAACTCTTATGCAGACACTTACGCTGTAGAAGTCGAGCAGGGTAAGACATACCATTTGAGAATCATCAATTCTGCACTCAATGACGAGCTTTTCTTTGCCATTGCTGGGCACAACATGACAGTAGTAGAAATTGACGCTGTTTATACAAAACCTTTTACGACCGAAGCAATCTTAATAGCACCCGGCCAAACCACAAATGTCCTCGTCCGGACCAACAAACTGCCTGGACGATACTTCATGGCTGCAAGGTCTTTCATGGATGCACCAATATCCATAGACAACAAAACTGCCACAGCTATACTTCAATACAAAGGCATCCCAAATAGCGTACTCCCGAGCCTCCCTGAATTACCAGCACTCAACGACACTTCATTTGCATTAAGTTACAATTCCAAGCTCCGGAGCCTCAATTCTCTGAATTTCCCAGCTAACGTTCCGCTTAAAGTTGATCGACAACTCTTCTACACCATCGGTCTCGGAATAAATCCGTGCCCAACTTGCCAAAACGGAACACAGCTCACCGCATCCTTAAACAACATTACCTTCGTAATGCCTCGAGTAGGCCTTCTACAGGCTCACTACTTTAACCAAAAAGGGATATTCACTACCGACTTTCCAGACCGTCCTCCAACGCCTTTTAACTACACCAGTGCACCGCTCACCGCCAATCTCCGAACTTCACAAAGCAGTCGACCACGTCTCAGCAAAATCGCATTCAATTCAACTGTGGAGTTGATATTACAAGACACCAATCTTCTCTCAGTCGAATCTCACCCGTTCCATCTTCATGGATACAACTTCTTCGTCGTTGGGACCGGGGTCGGGAACTTTGATCCTAAGAAGGACCCTGCAAAGTTTAACTTGGTAGATCCTCCTGAAAGAAATACAGTTGGTGTTCCCACTGGCGGTTGGACAGCCATAAGGTATAGAGCAGATAATCCAGGTACGCTTAGCAGTCAAGGGATAGATGTACAATATGATACTATAGAAAGAAAAAATAAAAATCTGGTAGTAAATACGAAAACAATAGGCTTTCTACATATGCATTGTCTAAAACAACAATTTTTATCAGCTGCAGCAAAGAAAGAAACTTCATACATTGCCTAACACGTTTATTAGAATTATCAAGAAAATATTCAATTTGATTATACGAATTAATTGATTTTCTATTCATGTAGGAGTGTGGTTCATGCACTGCCACTTGGAGCTACATACCAGCTGGGGTTTGAAGGTTGCATTTGTTGTAGAGAATGGACCTGGCCCGGATCAATCTATTTTGCCTCCACCCAAAGATCTTCCACCTTGTTAAATTAATCCAATTAATTTGAGAGAATTGTTGAGAATTTGTTGTTTGAAGCTGATTTGTTGTAAGAATCCCTGCAAATTGCAGAAATGAAGAATGATGAAACATTGTTATTGTTGTGCAAAAGTGAACGGTAAAATAAAGATAAAGGAGAACAATAAAATCGACGCACAAGAATTTTGGTGGTTCAATGATGGTGAGAATAGATCAATTAATTTTGAATAGGGTTATAATATGTTGTTTATGTAAAGCTCTAATCTTGAAATTATCCATACAATATCGTATCTTAGTGTCGGGGTCCCTACACCCCCAACTTATCAACGTCTTACCTAAAGGGCTAGTCGATTCGCTACGGGTCCAAGCCTCAAAGCACGTCCCTTCCGCTCCATCGATTAGCCTCCAAGATACAAAAAATATGAGCCACAAAATGATCTATTACTCAATTCATATTTTTTTTAACGGATAATCGGTTCAGAGCGAGGAGATGGCATAAATACTATACACGTCCAGTCCTGAACCGAGACATTAAAATCAAATACCATATCCATCTCATTGCGCCATCGTTTCTTTTTTCGCCCAATTCAATTCGGTTAACCGTGATTTTCAGTTTTGACAAGTGGAATTGCCATCTCTAGTAAAATTCTCATTCCTCCATTTTCCTGTCCTGAATTTTCAGAAACCTGCCCCGATTTCTTTTTACTTTTCAATTTAGATTTTATTTGAAAAATACTAATAAGTAATTGAACGTGACAATAATTGAGGATATTACAATAATCGCCTTGAATCGCTATCCTCAAACGTTATTTGCCCCCTTTCTGATATTTGTGAGATGTTGAAGGGTATTCCGGCGAATGATTTGAAGGATTATAATAAGCATTGTAAAGAATTTTACTAAAATACAAAATAAAATTCTCCAAAACTTGAAGAACGCAAATGAGGAAGTTTGAATATGAATAGACACAAGGTTTTGATCTTTTGTTTGTGAAATAATTTGGAGCTCAAGAGTTTTCAATATTTTCCCCTTGAATCATAGCTCTATTATTTATAGATTCCGTCCATATTTACGAAATCGGGCCAAAAGGTGCAAGTAACGCCACCAAAATCAAATCCATATCGTTAAAAAAAGGCCACCCAACTAGGCATGGTACAAATCCATGTGACCGCATTATTCATTTATGCCGAGCCTCAAATTTTCTGCATATGGCCATGCAAGGACCATTCACACAGCCACCACTTCCTTCTTTTCATTCCACCCAAATTTTGTTCTTTTGTTGGTTTTGAACAACCAATACACAACAATCGAAGGTACAGGGTACATTGGAAAGTTCATTTTGGGAACCAGTGCCAAGGCCGGCTACCCGACCTTCGTTTTAATCCTAGAGTCCACTCTCTCTAATCAGGGTCCTGACAAGTCAAAACTCATTGGGAGCTTCGAAAACTCTGGCGTCGTCTTCATACATGTCAGTATGTATGAACATGTCAATTAATCTTTGTTTCTTAATCAATTCAATGCCCTAATTAGTTAATTTCCCCAATTATATAGCAGCAGGAGCAATTTTTAGATTTATATTATTAATGTGGAGGTAATTTAGCTTATACTTGCTCCGAGAAGCTGTTATGTGATAGAAAAAAAAAAAAAAAAAAAAAATTTTTTCCCCCTTTTTTTTTTGAAAAAAAAAAAAAAAAAAAAAAAAAAATTTCATTACGACACAGATATTGATTTTTGGATTTATGTAGGAAGATTTATATAATCATGAGAGCTTGGTGAGGGCAATAAAGCAGGTGGATGTGGTAATATAGACGCTTGGTTATCAGTGCCCGTGATTTTCGGGTTTGAGGCGAATTTCATAAATTAGATCCCAAAATTGTAATATGCACGTCAAATTTAGGGAAAATTGTAGTAACGATCCCTAATCTTTTCTTTTTTTGCTAGCTTTACCTTAACCTTCATTTTATGTCAGCAAAAATTCCTAACATTTCATAAATATACATCTGAGGTCCATCTGGACGAAAACCATCCAAAACACTGTTAATGGACTGGGAAAATTAAGGAAATAATATCCAATAAAACCGTTCAAAAAGGTATCAATATCCAATAAAACCCTCACAGTAGCAGATAGTTCAATGAATTTTCCCGATCAACTGACGGTGTTTTGGACAATTTCCATCCAAATGTTTATCAGGTGCATATTTATCAAAAGTTAGGGACATTCATTGATACAAAATGAAGGTTAGAATAAAGTCTGCAAAAAATAAATACGTTAGGGACCGCTACTGCAATTTTGTCTAAAATTTATAAGTGCATTATGGAGTCAATAGCAAATTTTTTGAAACTTAACAATAAAATAACAAATAAAATGTATTATACAAAATATTTACATTATAATCAAATAACAAAGTCGATAATAACTCAAACGGTTGGTTAAATACTATTCGTCTTGCAATTTTAAATGCAAAAATATTAATAAAATTTGAATAATTTACTTGTTCAACCATTTTCTTTCTCAATTGATAACATATTAAATCCATTTAATCTTTTTTGTGATATAGTTGATTGGAGATAATGTATGGTTAACAAATTTTTGTAAGTAATATAAGCATTTGGAATGTTTTTAATTATTGTAGCAATTCAAATGCTTTCGTTGCTTTACTTGATATATAGCACCTCAAGACATGTAACTCGAAGTAGAAATCATCTCAATTAATATTCAAATGTCCATTATGTTCCAGATACTTCTCAAGATTCGTACAAGGCTTCAACATATTGAAAAAAGATGTATGCCTTAACTTTTCCAAATTTAACAAGAATCCAAATATCTACTCATATTGTTTAAATCGAATCTTATAGAAGATAAAGCTTGATTAATTACAAAAAGCAAAAAAAAAAAAAAAAAAAAGTGTTCAACAATAAAATGTTCTTCAATTAATTAATTTACATCATCACTACTACTACTTTCATTAAATTACTTTTTTTTTCGAATTATACGTTTTTCTCGAAAAACAGCTGTACTTCCAATTTTACTTATTCTTTTTGTCAGTTTATTAATGACAATAGAAGAATTAATTTTCTCTACAATCTTTAAGAAATGAAACAAGTTTTTGTAAGAGGTCGATAGCACCATCAATATCCATATTTTCAATTTGAAGAAATTTATTAATAATATTTACTGTATGCAACAATATGTACCAAATTACTATGCCAAGCAAGAATTCAAAATTTTGAAGTCATATATCGATAAAGACTCAATTTCACTGTTTGTTTTATGATTTTCGTTAATTTCTGCCAAGTCAAGTAAAACGTTTCTTATTTTAAACAATTAAATTGAATACTATCTATGTAATAAACAAGTTGAGTGGAATTAAGAAATCATTACAACATAAGTTTTAGAAATCATGAGTCACTTGTCCGCTTTTGTTACTTTTGAAACTGGCCTAATTTAGAAATGAAATTCCCACAATGAAAAACATTTTATTTATAAATGAAATGGAATGGGCTTAATTATCAAATTTTAATTAAAAAAATTATAGCGAACCTAATTTATTCCCCCCACCCCCCAAAATAATAATAACAAGAATAATAATAATGGAAGAAGAAGGAAGATTGAAAAATGCTAAAATTTGAAGCCTCTTCTAATGTTTGGCCTGAGGCATGAGCCTCACTAAAACTGGCCCTGTTGGTTATGCACAATTAGGTGATCAAGACAAGATTGTTGCCTGGCAGTGTTAAGGTAAACTCTGACAAACGTAAACAAAATTACTTATCACCAAAATAAGCTATCAAATTATGTGCAGTGCGAATATGATTACATTTTTGAATTGAAGTCAATTTGATAAGATGTATGAATCAGGGGCATTGTTAAGTGCTATGAATGGTTAACGTTATTTGCTTTTTTTTCAGTCTTCTTAAGAATTATGTTATCATCAGTCTTCTTGAAAGGTAAAAACATGCATTAACTGGAAAACTAGGGCGAAACAAAGTACCATAGGGTCAGAAAATCACCTAGGTAATCATCTTTTGTTGCGGTTTTCTTCTTGCAACATATATGTCATCAAAATTTCAAACTATTCGATGCTTCCAGCGATTCTTTCCTTAAGAATTTGGAAGCGATGTTGATCGTGTCCATGCGGTTGAGCCAGCAAATTCGATGTTTGGGCACAAAGCTCAGTTTCATCGATTCGTGAAGGCAAAAAGGAATCTCTTATACCTTTGTCTCAAGCAATTTCTCTAGTGTCATATTCGTTAGAACACTGACACAGCTAGATGCCACAGCTCCACCAAGGTATAAAGTTGTTATTTTAGGGGATGGGAACGCAAAAGGTAAGCCGTGATCTCTATAACGCATATCTTATTTACCATCGCAAATTGCATCAATTTGTGCAAAAATAGTGAATTTTCTTAAGCATACTTGGCATTATTTAATCAGTGGCAAATTCATACAGCCGTTTTGAACAAGGAAGAAGATATTGCTACATATACCATCAAAGCGGTGGAGGATCCAAGAAATTAAATAAGATCCTCTATATTAGACCTCCTGCCAACACTGTATCTCACAACGAACTAGTTTCCTTGTGGGAGGAAAAGATTGGCAAAACCCTTGAAAGAACATATATTTCCGAGGAAGTTCCGAAGAACATTCAAGGTAAATGAGACATTAGGGCTGGGAAAACTCTCGAACCGATTTAAACCGAACTGAATTGAATCCGAACCGAACTGAGCGATTCTTTTTAAATGAAATATCTGAACAAGTATCTGAATTGAGAACTGACGAGTTCGGTTGAATTTTTAGTTCTAGATCAAGAACCAAAAAATCGAATAAGAATCAAATCTCCCTAATTTTTTTTATTTTTTTTTATTTTAAATAAGCTAAATTATTTTTTCTAAATAAATTTGCTATTTAATTAATTTAGCTCAAACCCAAAAAATATGATTTTCTTATTTCTAATTTTTAGTCCAAGCCCAACTTAATCAAATTAACCTAAGTTTTACCCAAATCTGTTATTTTACTGAAGTGTCATTTTTACCGTTCTGGATAAATCGATTGAAACTCGACAGCTCCTTTATTAATTATTGTAAGATCGCTATTATCCATTTCCTGTAATTTTAACAATTAAATCTATGAAGAACTTAGCAAAGAGATACGCAAAAAATATATAAGATTGAACTACATTGTTTTGTAAGAGTTAAAATTGAACATGTCATTAGTTGAATTAATGTAACTTTGTAAATATTAAAAAAAATTAATTATAGTATAGAACTTGGAGACCGAACCTGAACGATTCCATAATTAAATGTGGCCCCGACGGTTCCACTTACTAAATACCTGAAAATTTCTAGATTAGTTCTTGTTAGGACCGAATCGAACCGGACAATGCCTACCCATGAAATTTACATTTAGCACTTGTCGAAATTTTCTTCATGGCAAGTTATGGCATAATCTATTATACTACTTAATCGTGCAATACATACCAAACGTGCCTTTCGATCTGACGTGTTTAAATTATTATTATTATTATTAATTTTTTTTTTTTTGCTGAGTATCTTGCGGAAGCCTCAGCTCTACTAAACGTCCGATTATCGAGCTGTCACTTGGTCTTTGTGATGGGAGATCAAACAAATTTTGAGATTGAACCATCATTTGGTGTTGAGGTGTCACAGCTTTATCCTGATGTCAAATATGCCTCTGTGGATGAGTTCAAGGAATTTAGCTATTTCTGGATACAACTTCGAAAGGGAAAAAAGGATCTGCTAATTGCAGTGCCTTCAACATAGTTTTGAAGTTCTAAAGTTTGTACTATACCATTATTTTTCAACGGAGAGTGTTTGTACTGTCCAAATGATTCTTCACTTTCTTGCTCCTTCAATGTCAAAGTTCCTAATTTATTGGTACACGTATAGATTCCTTTAATTGAATAAGAAATCTGCACTAGAAAACCAAGAAAATCCTGTTTAATCTTTCGTTTATTGCTTATTGAACACTTCTTTTACTTTTCTTAATGGATATAGCGACCTGAAATTGAGGAGCTTAATCGAACAAATGACAGCAACGTCGCTGAATAGAAAAGCTGGTAAATTAGGTGTCCAATGGAGTCAAGAATGATGTATGTTACTTGGCCCTGTCAATACTTCTCGAGCAAAGTAAGATTGACGAACAAAAAATTAAGCCTTATTTGTAATTTAATTAGATTCAGCTATACAAATAAGGCTTAATTTTTTGTTCGACAATTTTAATTTGCTCGAGAAATACTGATGTGGCCTAACACACATTTTGGCTGTTGATTTGTTCCTATCCAAGACAATGACCAATTTTGGCTGTTGATTTGTTCCTATCCAAGACAATGACCAAGTCGTATGCCTTTTGTGCGTGTCGAAATTTACATGACAAGAAATTTCGTTATCTTAGGACCGTTATGGTTACAACCGCCATTCACCGAAACTTCAATCGCTGGTTCTCCTATCATCAAATCACTAACTCTTTTGATCTTCCAGCACTGGGCAAATGTCAATCCCCATATATGATCTTACGATTTTATGGAGACGTGTTTTTGGTAAACAGTCACCCGAGCAAGATAATAGTTTATATGACGCTCATGGAAACTTATCAATTTAGTATTCAATGCAAAGCAAAATTGGGGCAGGGGCAGGGACAGGTATTGTTCACCATCTTCTCCTAATTAAGTACAAGATTCAATCTTATGCAACATTAAGCATGAAACGGATGGCAATCACAAATGAACGAACTTTAATCTTCCACCAAGAGTCTAAAAAATGTGTTCCGCCCTTCTCTCCTGCATACAATTTGGCAACCATAATTAAATAACGGCGCAAAATTGAACTATAGTTCTTCTAACTCCGTATTCAGGTCCATTCTATATTTGTAACATAAATACAGATATCATTAACTAAAAATCTGCAAAGCCACTGCTAGTTTTTTATTCGCCCCCCCTCCTGCTATTGCTCCCAAAAACTAAATTTCTTGGAATTCAATTTAGTGTAACCAGAAGAACTTCAATCTGCTCGGGAGCTGCTGGTGCTAGCAGAAGCTTTTTTCCCACTGTACTTCTGTTACAAAGCAAAATATAAACAATAGTTATCAGTACTTATAAGGGGCACATGGTTTGAAGGATTAATTGGTACCAATAACCAGTCCAGCTTATCCCGTGTTTGGTCGCACGTCATGAAATCCAGATTACAAGTCCCCCAAATTGCCAATCATTCCACGACTCAAACAAGACCTTGAGAAACTCTTAAAGCAGACTAACAAGAATAACCAACAGGCTACAAGAAGTTTTATGACAAATAAGTGTAGGGACAACCATATAAATCCTTTTCCATTCTTGATGGTTCATGGCTGCCTCAACTAGTATCATGCTACACTAACATAAAAAAGACTTATTTGTAGCAACAGCTTTAGTGATATTTAAAGGAGCTCACCTGTTTTCCAATATTCAATGGGATGTATCTGTACTTGATCATATGCATAATTTGGCGCTTCATTGTGAGTACAAAAAGAACAATCCAGTAGCACAACAATATGGGCCAAAAGACAGGGACATCAAAGACCGAAAAGAATGTCATAAAAAATGCTACACAGAGAGCCTTGGTGATGGCATACCTGAACCACATAAACAAGAAACATTATGACCTTCATTCGATGGACTTTCTTAAATGTGTATACGAAAATATCAAATATACATTAATATGCACTAAACAACAATACAGCAAGTTTATAGCTTCTATGTGGCGAAAGCACCCAAAAGCATCACAGAAGTAGTCAGTAAATACAAATTAATCAAAGGAAACTATAACACTTAATAAGCTTAGTATAATAAGATTAGTGAATAATATAACTTTGAGCAAAGAATTTGAAAGGGAAATAGCAATACATAACATAATATATGGGAGGTACAGAGATATTCAGCCAGGAAAAAGAAAAGGACGCAGAAACTCAATCTAAATCCAGATATTCAACATGAGTACAGCAGAAGATGCCATTAGCAGAAGCTCCATAAGCCATTTCACAAGCTTAAAATAGAGTTGCCATTAATGAAATATATTATTAATGATATCAGCTAGAGCTGGGCAAATCTCCCGAACCGAACCGGCCGAACCGAACCGATCCGAACCCGACGGTTCTTGTCAAATTAAATACCCGAACGGGTATCTGAATTGAGAACCGACGGGTACGGTTCGGTTCTCGATTCTAGACCAAGAACTGAAAAACCGAATAAGAACCGAATCTTTCTAATTTTTTTTTTTTATATTGAGTAAATCAAATTATTTTAATTTTAATTTTTTCTAAACAAATTAACAAATTAATGATTTCTAAATCCAAATTTTTGGCCCAATAATTTGTTTCATTTCTAATTTTTTAATTTTTGGCCCAATTACCCATTTTATTGTTTCATTTCTTAACCAAATAAGATCAAATCCACTAAATAACCCTAAACACCTACAATAAAGTGCATAACGTTGTCTCGACTCTCGCACTCACTCTCGCAGCCTCGCTAATATTCCAAAACCTATACAATCGTCGGCCGACACTCTGACCTCCGATTGAAGCCGTGACTTTCACCGATTGAAGCTTTGATCGTAGCGATCATTTGAACAAGGTAGTTTACTAATCTCTGACATTCCAAAACCATTGAATGTATCATTAATCGTATTTATATAACGTTGTTATAAATGTTAAAAAATTTAATTATAGTACAGAACTGAACCGAACCGAATGGAACCGAACCCGAACGGTTCCATAATTATATTAGAAACCCGACGGTTCCATTTACTAGATACCCGAAAAGTTTGGTTCGGTTCGGTTCTAAAGATAACCGAACCGAACCGACCCGCGCCCACCCCTAATATCAGCAATGGATTCTCTCAAGAAACGTTTTAGAAAGTCCCAGGACGAAATATGCACAAAATGAGAGAAAAATCAAGCAAAAAGCACCCGTTTACAATTTGAATATCTACAAATCAATCACTCATGAGACATTGACAACTGAGACGATTTACCACATTGCAAAGGCAACAGATGCATAATAAATCAAATAAGAATAAATATTGAGACTCTTCTCCAGTTGAGTGAGGATATGCCTAATTGTGGTTGTACTCCATTGCCATCTCAATAAAAAGTTAAGTAGCAAAGCAAAAGTCACAGGCATACCACAATAGCTGCAGGACATTAATATCAAACCTCATGGTGACAGAATAAATGTAAAACAATCCAAAGATGCTAAAAAAAAATACCAGAATTTAAACTCTGGGAGGCGGCGAATGAAAGGCTTGAATTCGTCTGAACCCTTTGTTGGCAACATAGGTCCATCAGAGGGTTCGAGCTCAGGATCAACAAGAGGGGACAAAAACCCAATGAGCAAATTCAGAATATATATCCCCAATCCATACACAATAATGTAGAACCCTTGAGCATAGTAGATCCGCAGAGCAAAAACAAATACTAAAATGGAAGTACCAATCCACCGATAAAGAGCATGTGGGGTAGATTTATCTAAATAGTACTGAAAAAGCTTTGACATTTCATGTCTACGTTGGTTCAGTGCTCCCGCTGCTGTTGAGGAATCATCACCTCCAACTCCCTCCATTAAAAATCAATCAACTTCAGAATCCTACAACGATGTAAAAACATTTCAATCAGATGAACCGCCCAGAGTTTCACAAGGACCGACATCTATAGTCGGTAACTATGTTTCATTTCAAGAAGTGAGAATGAGGAAAATGAACCAGATTTTTCAATAATAAACAAAAACAGGGGTTCAATTTCTAGAGCAAAAGAAACCCTAAACCTAAAATTGAACGACATCAGAAGCAGATCTGCTAATGGCCGATCCCGAAATTAAAAAACACTATCATCATCTGAAATCATCAATATACGTATAAAATTACAACAAAGTCATGCATTGAGGCGAATAATATCTTTAAATATCTAACGAAGAAAATCGGGGAAAATAAGTTTACCTTCAGCAAAAATGTAGCAGGCGAGGAAAATGACTTTTCAGGGATTTTGGGGGGCGAAAATATGTAAGGATCTGTTTGAGAGGTGAGGTCGAAAATGGCACTCATTTAATTGTAATTTTTCCCACAAAACAAACAGGCGTAATAGGGAATTATTATCATGGGATTAATTTCAATGCTGGTCACTCAACTTTGAGAAGAATCGCATCTAGGTCACTTATCTTATATTTGATACAATCAGATCATCCAACTTTTATTAACTTTTCTAATCTGGTCACTTTGATGTCCGCTTCTATGAGATTAACTAACCTAATAAATTGACCTAGATGGTAAAACTAATGGATAACGACATGTGAAAATGTGCTTTTAGTTCATACTCCTTTCATAAAATGGGTTATGCGTATTATTATGTGATGTGAATATACGTGTCTATCATCACGTAACTCTAATATTCAGGTCAGCAGGTACTTTAGTTAAATTGATCGGACAATGGACAAAATGATCAAATTTGCAAAGCAAATAGAAGTTGGATGACCTGTATAACCAAATTGAATATGGGTGATTAGCTTTTGAATTGAAGAATACATTTTAGAATAATAGATTGATAAAAAATGAAATGTTTTGAATTTACGTATAATATTATTTAATTGAACAATGAGTAGTTGAAAAGAAAAGAGATAAAAATGTATTTTGAAAATAATAGGGATCAAATAAGGGTTAGATTTTGTTATGGATAAAGTTTGAGTTCAAGTCTATTAAATTCCTCTACTAATTGTTTTGTAGATCATCGTGTTTAGAGCAATCAGGGGCGGAACCATTAAAGGCCCACTGCATTCAATTAGGCCCTTAATTTTTGACAATTACAAAGTAGTCACATAAATTTTTAGTCCATAATTTTAAGTTTTTAACCTATAATTTTTATATAATTTGGTCTTGCTCCTATTGAATCATGTTCTTGGATCCGCCCTATTATTGCAATAGTGTTTAACTTCTGGTTGCATGAAACTCTAGGTTGCAGAAAAGAAAACCCGCATGTAGTACAGTACGGTACATACTACTCAACCTACTCGAACAGACATTAATCCTCCAGCAAGCATTTATAGAAACGAGTCTTTCAAATGCTGCGAAAAGTTAGTTCTGAATAATAGTATCTGATGCACATCAACTCAAAAAGTTCTATACATGTCGAGATTCAGCAGTTCTTCTTATTCCTTTACAAGGGAATGCATCAGAATTTTAATTATACAAGGAAACGAAGCACTTATACTATGCAGCCACAGATTATTTTCAAGTACTATTATATCTTACATATACCAGATGAAGCTTTCCGGCACAAACTTCATTCATCAGGAACGGGCTGGCCTTAGTTGCCACTATTTCAAGTTCGTCTATTCCAGAACAAGTTTATATGACTGTTCCATCATTGATCGTAGCCTTCTCTTGTATGATAATTAATCCTGACCGAATGTAGAATCCTTCATCTGGTCTATCGGCTTCTTGAACACCCTGTGGAGTCAAAGAACCTTACAAGTGTTGCTTCGGATAAAAATAACTGCATTTCTCTAAGAAAATGAGATCGAAGAAGTAATGTGTAGTTAGGCTTACGTCTTTATTCATAATAATCACGTCTTTTCCGATTTTCACGTTCTTGTCAATAATACAGCTCCTACATGTCCATAAAATTTTACATTAGCATCTTGTTCTTTAGCGTATAGGGAAAATAATAAATCTTCAATACCCTATTCCGTAAACCTGATTTTCGTGTTTTCTCCGATGCCCATTGGGACTTTCCCTTCTGCTAGAAGAGACGCAATTTCAGATTCTGTTTGGTAGTAGTCAGCCCCCAACATTAAAGAATCCTATTACAAAGCAAACTGTTCGATTATCAAACAAGTTTCAAGTCCTTTGGGGAAAAAAAATAAAATTTGAGTACAATATATGATCACCTTCAATTCAACACCAGTGTCTAGTCGAGAGCGTTCGCCGACTATGGAGTGTTCAATGATGCATTCTCGCAGGAAACAACCATGTGAAACTATTGCATCTTTAATCTGGAAAAAAAACAAATAAAACATTAAGAACCTTAATTATAAAACGGAATCATTAGAAATACCGGCTTATATGGCTTACCTTGCATCTGTCAATCTTGGTTGGTGGTAAAAAGCGCGGAGACGTGTAGAAAGGCGTCTTTGGATCATAAAACTCAAATTTTGGAAACTGCAAAGTAGAGAAATTTACTCACTTTAAGCATCCATTAAAAGAACAAATATTAGCTGAATTGAAAAAACTACAAGGGTAGGCACGCGATGTCTGAAAAATACACGAGCTTTGAAATTACAATAATCTGAAAGGACGTTATCATCAAACCTCGTCTACAAGAGCCAGATTAGCATCATAAAATGATTTTATTGTTCCAATGTCTTCCCAGTAGTCTCTGAAGATATACGCCTGTAACACAGTATCGTCTTAGGCACATAATAAGAGAAATGTGGAAACAGAAAGAAACTGAAATATCTGACAAAATGTAAGAATTTTCTTTCTTACTTGCATATTTTGCTCCTTCACGGCAGAAGGTATAATTTCTGACCCAAAGTCGTTTGATGTAGGGTATCTCCACCTCAGGAGCTTCAATAATACATCAGTGCTAAATGCGTAGACTCCCATCGAAGCAATATATGGAGACTGTACAGCATCCTGTGGAGACAATCCTATGATTGTGGTGTCCACTTGCTGCAGTAAAGTGAGAGACAGAAATAAGGTAACATTCGAATGTCTAAAACTTTTTGATAACGTGTTAGTGTACAGTTTGAATTTGAATTGGAAGGATCTGAATTCAAATTCTAATGTGTTTGAGTTCATAATTGAAGCTCGGAATATCAAATGATGATATAAGCCTCAAATTATCCTTAAAAGAGATGGAAATAATGAAATAAATATTCTGTTAGTTTGGGGGGAAAGAATGTTGTATAGTTCACTTAAGCATACCATTGCTTTCAGGTCAGTGCCTTTGGGTTTTTCAGCAAATTGGGTTATCCGACCTCGGCTATCAATTTTCACCAGCCCAAAATCCGACGCTCGACTGAGAAGTAAAATTTGAGTTGCAATGAGAAATCCACAATGTTTCGAAAAAAGGACAAAAACTAAGAATCCATTTCCTAACTTCAACTAAGAGAGAACATATTCATCAATTTCAGAACTTTCAAAATTGAAATCTCCTTGTTAAAATGTAAAAGTATACTAGCGAATAATAGCATTTAATGCATGTTTGATATAGAGTATTAAACAAGATTTTAGCTTCTTGTTTCTCTTTAATATTATCCAGTACTATCTCATCCTTGCTTCACTACCAAACATTGCATTGAAGTATCAAATTATCAGCTCAGAACCGGAAATTTCAACTAACCTTTCACCTACTGGTGCACATGAAAGAGTAATGTCAGCATTTCGGTCAATATGGTTCTGTTTGGGCATTAAAAGAGTTAAATGACTTTGTATTGCAAAAGTTCGGTGTAACATAATAATAATAAAAGATTTTAATATACCTGCACAAAGTCCATATAATCCATTCTATAAAGATGATCCCCAGACAGTATCAATATGTTATCGATATCTTTTGCCTTAGCATCCTACAAGAATAAGTTGAAATACTAACATCCAATGACCAATTTAAGAATACATGAATGATCGAGTTTAAAATATGATGTCTAGTTAATCTTAGACGACGATGCTAAATATGCTAAAACTTGCAATATGCACCTCAAACAGCCATATGAATCGCCTAACGGCATCTGCTGTTCCTTGGAACCATTGCATTCCTGTTTCTCCCGCAGTTTGAGTTGCCGCCAATACCTGTGTCACATATAGATTTTACATTAAATAAATGAAACTGAAATAATTAGTCTGTCACATTGGTTCAGAATCTTAACAGAGTATTCATATAAATTCTTGTTCGTTATATTGTCTGATCCTGTCGAGTAGCACCTACCAAATATGCAATAAGGGATTACACTGTCAAGTTTTAAGAAAGTATAATCATAGAGGTCTATACCTCGACAAATCCATCTCCAAAGCTGATGCCATTTCCAGAATACGTCCGAGAAATGTAACGATTTAGAGAAGCTGAATTGAATTGTGTCAGCACAAAGATCTTGTTAATGCCACTGTTAATGCAGTTGCTCATTGGGATGTCGATCAGCCTATAGCATCCTCCTACCGGAACCTGCAGGTTGTGTAACACAAGAAATTGCAATATCCGTAAAAAAATTGACTCCTTTAGTTCATATCAAGGCCGTTTTAGTGTTGAACATATTAGTCAAGAAAATACATGAAGAAGAGTGGATTCTGGATTAATTTTTTGACAAATTAATTGAAACTGATCAAGTAGACATTTACTTACTGCTGGAATTGCAGCTCTGCTTGTAAGTGGGAAGAGTGGAGTCCCCGCGCCTCCTCCCAGAATGATTGCAGCCACATTCTTCGGATTCGCCCTGCGTCTCTCTATTATTGGTGCTTGTACTGTCTGAATTCACTCCAGCAAACATATAGTATCAAATGTTAAGAAATAAATATTAATATATTAATCAGCATATAAGGACTTGGATATTCTTCTTAACAAGTTCGACGTTTTTAAGATGGAACAGGGTCTTAAAATGGTATCAGATCTTATTATCCATCAAGCAATTCGATTTAGCAAGGTTAGTATTCTCAAACGAGCAACCATCTTGTGGGGGCATTGTTAAGGGATAAATTCCATTTTTCTCAACAACCCGACCAAGACGAGGACGCTGATCATTTTCACAATTCCAGGAAAACATTAGAGTTTGATTAACCCAAAAGTTGCAGGAAAAAAAAGGTTGAATGGGATGGGATGGACTTACCAGAGTTTCTTTACCACTTTCTCTGGTGAGAACAGAGCAAGCAACCCCAGATTTAATTTTCTTCACCTTCTTCTCAAGATTCAAAATTTTCCCCAAATTATTAGGGTCATTTAAACTCCCTCTGATCCTCTCACCCCAAAACCCAGTTTCTCCATACCCAAAACCACTTTTTCTGCCTGTTGTCAAGTGGGCTGTAGATTTCAGTGTTGCACAGCAAGTTTCCATCACAGTTGATTCACCAGCAAAACTAATAAAAAAAATTATCAGAAAGATCAGATGATGATGAACTGATAGAAAATGTTTTATTATTTAAGTGGAGTAATTTCACCAAAGTAGAGGATCAAGAAATATAAACTAAGTAACCAAGTAAAGTATAGATTACAGAAAAGAGTACATAAATTAAAATTAAAACTACAGCTAACAGATTGCCCAGAATCAAAGTTATCTATGTAAAAAAAAAAAAAAAAAGTACATGAAAAATTGTACCTTGAGGGATGTTATGGAAACTGAATTAGAAAGCCAAGATTATTGGAAGTCCAAGATTTTGATTGATTAAAATTCCTAATAGTTGAGGAGGGAATAATAAGGCCAATTGGAAGTTGAAGATTCAAAAGGTGGCGGTGGATATGCGGTACTGAATAATTGCTCTGAGGAGAGACAATGCATGAATGTCAGTGAAGGTGGTAGATGTCTTGGCCTGTGACCTTTTCACGAGAAATCTTGCTTTACGGCTATTTATAGAACTTGTCACTCGTGTTCGACAGTTTTAAGCCCCTTTCGGATTCCATTGAAATGAGGGTTTTGGAGGAAAGTATATTTTAAAATAATAAAATTTTTTTGAAAAATATATGGTTAAAAAATAAAAAATTAAATTTACGTGCAAACTTATTTTATGGAAGAAATTATGGATGAAAATGAGTTTAAAAAAATGTATTTTTGAAAAAGTGGAGTCCAAACAAGCAAGTCTAATTATACTCTTATACATATGAATAATGTCACTCGACCAGCACGGATGACATCCCATTGACCACGCCCTCACATGGGATGCGTGGGTCTTGTGCGAATAAAATAATTTAGACCCCTTATGTGTGTATCTACGGTCATCCCCGCAGTCATAGACGCGGATCGTATAGCGCGGTTGTATACGTATATCTTGCCTTACTGCTATTTATTCAACTAGTCATTCATTCCATCGTGTAAAATCTGATTATATTATTATACATAGCGTCAATTTAAAGGGTAACAAAATAATAATATATATATATATATATATATATATAATTTGATAAAAATTAAGAAATGTATAGATAAAATTAATTGTGAATTTTGATTTAAATTTTAATAATTTTTATAGTTAAATCAAATAGAGGCTTGATGTCTACCGTCCAAGTTTCAAGGCTTGTTTGGAATTTGGGCAAGAGGGTCCATTAGACATCAATCACATGTCCTTTTCATTTGTAATTATATGTGAGAGTAATACATCTCAATGCACACTCGCGAAATAAATATCAAACTGCATTCATTTTAGCGGCTGTCATTTGTAGAATTCCAATTGAAAGATTTTTCTTATTCAATCAAGGGTCTCACCCTCACCCCACCCACCCCACTTGACAATTTGCACAATTTGGAATGTGATCACTTTTCCCTTCACTTATTTTCTAAAGCTTTGGAAATTGTATTTTTCCGCTTGATTTTTCTTGATCGACAAAGATTAAAGAAAGTAGTGGGATGTTTGTCAAAACATCGGTGTCACGCACATAAAATAAAATTTAATCTAAATTAAATAATTTGAACCATCTAAGAGCATCTCCAATAATTTTTTTTAAGAGAACGTCTACACCTACAGAAAATTGGTTCACAAAACTTCTATAAAATACACACAACATGGGGTGGGTGATATTTTTGGACAACATTTTAAACATTTGGAGCCCACCCCCATGTCTCATATCTGTAGCTATTCTTAAGCTTCTTCTTTTTCTTTTTTTTTTTTTAAATATGAGATACTCTATGTTTTAAAGAATCGACACTTAAAATTATGCTTTAATGGATTTTTTAAATTAACATTTTAATTTAGAGATGCATTCAAAGTGTTTCAAATTTCAGTATAGAAAAATAATAAAATATTTTAAAGATAAACTAGCTAAAATAAAAGATAAAAAAAATAAGTATTTTTTAGTAGTAGTAAAATTAAGTGTTAAATATAAAAAGATTGTTCGAGTACTTCAAAATTTTAGCTCTTTAAAATTATAGATACGCTCCAAATGATAGAATATGGTCTATAAAAATAGAGAGTGTATTATAAATAATTTTTTCTATGTGAGCTTCTAATAGATGGTTAGGTTCAAGTATTAAAAGTGGAGTTATCTTCATCATAAACGATGAGAGATGAAAGTATGAAGAATCATGACGACTTTTCATGTGTTAATTGTTAAAATAATGTTAAAATGGACGTTACATAACCCACAACGGGTCATATTCATGGTGGGATGGACTGGAGGCAGCAATATCGAAATAAAAAAGTTTGTCTTTAAGTCAATAATTAAAGATTGTACCTCGTATACATTATACGGGTCGTTCAGATTTTTGATAATAGCATGGACGGTTCATATTAAATAGAGAGGCACATTCCCTGTCCACATGATAATGTGATAGCCTATGTAACTTGCAGAAGTGGACCCTCTCTCAATAATTGATAGTCACCCTCAATCTCAAAAGTTGAATCCTAATCTTGAATGTCTCACCGTTCCTAGGGTTGGCAATTTGAACCGTTAAGATTTAAAATCGCGGTTAATCGAATCGAATGGGACAAAAAAAATCGAACCGATGATGCAGTGGGACAGATATGGTATTTGATTTTAATGAGTCGGTTCGTGACGGTGCGAGTATGCTATTTATGCCGTCGAATCGAAATCAAACCGATTACCCGCTTAAAAAAATCATTCTTTTATTAGGGATGACAAGGTATACTGAAGAGGAAGTTGATGAAGAGGTACATTTTTTTATTTAAATCTTAGTTAAAACCATTCTGGATTAGGTAGTATCGTTGTATTATCTACTTATATTTCTTATTTAGTGTAAAGGAATCAATTTTGTGTGTTGGCCTATGCTAGTAAGAGTTGTGGAGAAGAATGAAGATTGATTATGAGTTAATGTTGAAACTTTTGAATTATTGAGCATGAATCAAGTAACTACAATGCACAAGAATCAAGAATGAAGGAAAAGTTTAGTATTGTTATATTCATAATATTGTTTGTTAAATTTATATTTTGCAATTAAAATTTTGGATAATGTTTGCATATTCGTTTGGAATATTGTGTTTTTGTTTTCATTAACTCTCTTTTCATAAATTGTTTTATATCAATTTGATTGATAGACCTATAAAAAATAATTTATCTTCATGGTTATTAACCGAATCGAACCGAACTGAACCGATTTACATGGTTATGGTGCGGTTATGGTATGGCAAAAAATTTGACGGTTCGGTAATGGTTTTGGTCGAACTGAACCGAAACCGAACCATTGCCATCCCTAACCGTTCCACCCCTAGAGTATCATGAAGGAAGTAAATCGCGGGATGTGTTCCAACGGACCAGAGAACAAGAGTTTGCCTATACACTAGTACCCACAAAAAGTCCAATTTCATATCTTAGGAATCGAACCCTCACACTACGAATGTCAGCAAGATTGAGATTACCTCACTCCTGTCCTTTGCACCACCGGATTATGCCCCGGGGCATAGTCACCCTCAGTCTCATCTTTACATAAATCTGTTTTTATGAGCATTTTATACATTTAGGGGCTGTTTTGAGATTTTTTTTTTCAAAAAATACATTTTGTAATCGTGTTATGAAGAAGAACGTGTGATTAAAAAATAAGAATTTTTTTTGAATTTATGTACAATATTATTTTATTGAAAATGTCTGGTTAAAATAAAGTCAAATACTGTTCTAGAATGTATTTTAATAAAAAAAAAATGGGGCTCAAACATGGCTCTATTAAAATATAATTTTGGAGGAAAATATATTTTAAGACTATGATTTTTTTAAAAATGTGTGGTTAATTTTTTTTCAATTTACGTATAATATTATTTTATTAAACAATATACGACTATAAAAAAAGAGAAAGAAAAATATATGTTCATTTTAATGGTGCCAAACAGGGGCTTAATTAAAAAGGATTTAGTTTAAATTTGAAATGCCAAATGGTGTAGTGCATGTTTGGAATAGCTTGAAAATTGTTAAAAAAAAAAATTTGAAGGCAGAGTTAACAATTAACTTTAGCTTCCGTTTGGTCTCCATTATTTCAAATTTTAATAATGGAATATCATTTTTATTATTTTTTATTTTTGGAGAATGGGTGGTTGAAAAAGAAAAAAAGACATCGATTAACTTAAAAATAAAAAAAATAAAAATAAAATTTAATTTAACGGGATCAAATGGGTAATCATGTAATTCATATAACTCCCAAATATTATCTACTTTTCAGCCAAATTTTCATCAATTGTTTCTCAAAATTTGTTAAATTTTATATCTTTGACAAACAGTTAACTTTGCATGCTCAAACTAGTATGTTTATAATAGATATAAGTCGAAACTACTACTATCATGTTTGATATACAATACTCAATACGTTCAATAACATAATCACGAAATTTTAGCTTTTTTCATTAGAGTTATCTATATATATATATAATTTTTTTTTTTTTTTTTTTTTACACTATTATGTCATACTCGTGTAATATGAGAGCTATCACAGTTGTTTTAACCAGTTGAATACGCACAGAGCGAGGGGAACAGGTAGGATATAGGTGTTCATTAGATTATTTGAAATAAAAGATTTTGATTATTTTTTAAATACCATAGTAAGTTCAACAATCCCCATATATAAATGGTCGTTGTACAGTTCTAAACATCGCACATGAAATTGTAATAATTCAAAGAGCATTTTAAGAAATGAAGATAATGCAAGTGATGGATGGAATTATAATGGGGGAATAATTAACATTTTGGTTAAAAATTTCAAGAAAGGTCCAAGAATTTGATGATGATGTGTTTGTACACTCAAATTGGGGCAATTTATTCTATAACAAGTTTATTAATATAATTGAAGACATTTTTGATCGTACACGTGTACGTTAAGAGCTCGTGATACTTAACAGTTGAGTGACATATATTTATTTCAATTATAATAGTTGTACATTCAAAATGTACATTAAGGTTAACACTGTGTGATGTGTCAAAATCTGTACCATTGATTGTTTAAAACGTTGTCAAAATCAATCTATAAAAAGTTGTCACCTCATAACAATGTCAAACTTAATGTAAATGTAGCAAGGTTGTATTTATTTATTTATTTTTAAATATTGACTGATGAACGGATCAATATTGTGAGCGGAGACAGCAAAATTTCTTTGACGATTTTAAGATCATTAACCAAACAAACGCTAATTGACAAAATAGTTAACTAATAAAGAAACTAGGTTACTATTTTAGGTAACCAGCATGTGAAACTTCACGTGATTTGTTGATAACCAAATTGGTCCACACGACCACACCCTTCACATCATTTGTATTTATTTATTTTTAATACTCTCACTTTTTCTTCCTTGCTATAAAAATTTATAGCCGTGAACTGCGAGAAAAGGAGCAAGACGTCAAATAGAACGATTTGGACAGGTGGGCTCAACCTTGATCCAATTAAAGAGGCTCGACACCGAGCTTATTGTGTAGAAGTAGACTTGATCTCATCGATCTCGAGCTCCTGATATCTTGGATTACAGGGATAGGCTCAACCTCAAGTTTATCTTCCGGGTACCTTAAAGAAAGGAGTCGATTTGCGGCATTTTCACCCCTCCAATGCTAAAATAGATTAATGCAAAGATATACGAGAAAAGGAGCAAGACGTCAAATAGAACGATTTGGACAGGTGGGCTCAACCTTGATCCAATTAAAGAGGCTCGACACCGAGCTTATTGTGTAGAAGTAGACTTGATCTCATCGATCTCGAGCTCCTGATATCTTGGATTACAGGGATAGGCTCAACCTCAAGTTTATCTTCCGGGTACCTTAAAGAAAGGAGTCGATTTGCGGCATTTTCACCCCTCCAATGCTAAAATAGATTAATGCAAAGATATAAGCGTGATGGGTATAAACTCAATAACGTTACTTGGATGATGGAAATAAGACATGCATTGATAGTTGATGCTACCAAAAAATGTACTTAGTAGACCTCCCGTACTTAAGGACTAAAAAAAGCACGAACAGAGCCTTCTGGTACCTGAAACAAAGGCAACGAGGTGTGTTTTCGTCGTCCTTCCGATGCTTAAGTCAGACAAAGAATTTATATGAGAACGTATAATGAAATTGTATGTAAAAGCGTACCTGAATAATTGACTTGTGTCATGTATTTATAGAGGTAGGTAGTGTACTTCTAGTAGGATTGAATTAGTTGGATGTTCCTATCTAATAGAGTCCTACTTGATAAGAGTATTTTATTTGTAATATAATTGCATGATCAATGACGTTATTGTTGACATAGAATTCTTGTGGACGTAGGAGTCCTAGGTTGAGGTGTTTGAATTATATTAGAGTTTGTAGAAGGTAAGATTTCTTATGGGCTTAACAAAGGGGGGGGTTCGATATGAAGGGAATAGTTTGAGGACTCATGAGCCCCGTATATCAAAAGGATGCTCGAGGACTTATGCCCGAGGACACCACCGACCATATCACGATGATGCAAGTCGCCACTCCTCGGGTGTATTACCCCGAGGACTATGTGTCCCAATATGTGATGAGCAAAACCCTGTGAGTCATTGGGAAAATCACCTCGGGAGGTTGCCAAAAGTGACTACATCACTAGCCCCCGTGCATCCATGTCAGAGGCTTGCGCGATATGCAAGTTTCTGGGATGAGATGTACAAGCATGTAGGGTGATGAGTATGCTCATGCCAAGATAAGAGCGTGCTTATGCCTAGAGGTTGGCGACCTCATGCCAAGGTATAGGCTTGCCAAAGCCTAGAGGTCAGGGAGCTCATGCCAAGGAGTGGTCATGCTCATGCCTAGAGATAGGCGAGCTCATGGCAAGATAAGGGCGTGCCAAAGCCTAGAGGTCAGGGAGCTCATGCCAAGGAGTGGTCATGCTCATGCCTAGAGATAGGCGAGCTCATGGCAAGATAAGGGCGTGCCAAAGCCTAGAGGTCAGGGAGCTCATGCCAAGGAGTGGTCATGCTCATGCCTAGAGATAGGCGAGCTCATGGCAAGATAAGGGCGTGCCAAAGCCTAGAGGTCAGGGAGCTCATGCCCAGAGACTGTCAAGCTCATGACGAGTTGATAGGCACTCTCGATCCCTACCTTATTAAAAATTTGAAGGGAACAAGCTTGACCCCAATATTGTCAAAATTTTAAAAGAAAATTATGCACAGACCTTGTTTAAAAATTTTAAAGGAAAGAGCTCGACCTCGAGCTCATTAAAAAATTTTGAGAGGCTTAGATATCGTCAAAAATTTTGAAAGAGAAGAGCTCGACCTCAAACATGTTTTAAGGTAAGGGATGAATCCCTACTTTATTTAAAATTTGAAAAGAAGGACTCTAGCTGAAACTTTGTTAAAATTCTGAAAAGAACAAGCTCAACAAATAGACAATAGTTCATATAGGAGACATAGCTCAAACTTAATGTGCGATAATTATCTCGAGCCCTTGTGGCTGGGATTTGATAATGCATTGAGCTCGAGGACAGACCTCGAGCCCAATGTGTAATAATATCCCTAGCCCTTGTGCTAGGATTTTGACATTGAATTGAGCTCGAGGACATAGCCTGAGCCCATTTTAAAAATAATATCCTGAGCCCTTATGGCTAAGATTTGAAAACGAATTGAGTCGAGAACATAGCCCGGGCCTCATTTAAAATATTATCCCGAGCCTTGTGGCTGGGATTTGAAAATGTATTGAGCTCGAGGATAGGCCCTGAGCCCAATGAGAAATAATATCCCGAGCCCTTGTGGCAGGAATTTTGACAATGAATTGAGTTCGAGGACATAGCGGAGCCCAATATAAAAAAAAATATCCCGAGCCCTTGTAGTTGGGATTTTGACATTGAATTGAGCTCGATGATATAGCCGAGCCCAATTTAAAAATAATATCCCGAGCCCTTGTGGCTGGGATTTTGACATTAAATTGAGCTTGAGGACATAGCCCGAGCCCATTTTAAAAATAATATCCCGAGCCCTTGTGGCTGGGATTTTGACATTAAATTGAGCTTGAGGACATAGCCCGAGCCCATTTTAAAAATAATATCCCGAGCCCTTGTGGCTGGGATTTTGATAATGAATTGAACTTGAGGACAGGCCCCCGAGCCCATTTTAAAATAATATCCCGAGCCGTTGTGGCTGGGATTTGATAAGGTATTGAGCTCGAGGACAAGCTCGAGCCCAATGTGAAATAAATATCTCAAGCCGTTGTGGTTGGGATTTTGATAATGAATTGAGCTCGAGGATATTACCTGAGCCCATTTTAAAAATAACATCTCGAGCCGTTGTGGCTGGGATTTGATAAGGTCAGCTCGAGGACAAGCCCTCGAGCCCAACGTGAAATGATATCACGAGCTCTATTCCCATGGATTTGAGAATAGGTTGAGCCTCACAAGCTCGAGATAGACCGTGGTCGGGTTTTTTACTTGATGCATTGCGGGACTTGGATGTGCTTACCCGTGGCAAAGCTTAGAGTACCTATGCGGGATAAGGCTTGAAGTACTTGCTCGGGGCAAGGCTTTAAGTGCTTGTGTAGAACAAGGCTTTGGTACCTGCTCATGACAAGGCTTTTGATGGTGCCTGCTCGTGACAGTGATTTTTTTATGCCTACTCGTGGCAGGCCTTTTGATGATGCCTGCTTGTGACAGGTCTTTTTTGGTTCCTGCTCGTGGCAGATCTTCTTTCGTGCCTACTCGTGGCAGGTCTTTTGATGGTGCCTGCACGTGACAGGGCTTTTGATGCTTGCGCGAGGTAAGACTTTGGTGCCTGCGCATGACAGGTCTTTTTTGGTGCCTGCTCGCAACAGGTCTTTTTTAGCGTATTCCTTCTGGAAGAAAACATGTGTCGTGTGGTTCCAACTCTCTTTATATAAACTTTCCTACCTTCTAGAGACAAAATAAGCTCGTAGGCCTTGTCAAAATAACTATCTAAGTAAATAAGAAAATGCATAGGGCGTACAGCCCGAATAAAGGTAAACTAACCAAAAAAACATAGGGCATGCAAACCCAAGTAAACTAAACTAAACAAGCCAAAATGGAAACCAAAAATAAAAATAAATCCTAAGCGATCATCAATCTTAGCTATGCTCGACCCCGACCTCTATCAGTTCTTCTTCTGGGACAAATTTTTGCTGGTTCTCGAGCTCGAGCTCGAGCTCAAGGGTCAATACTTGCATGACATAGCCCGAATAAAGGTAAACTAACCAAAAAAACATAGGGCATGCAAACCCAAGTAAACTAAACTAAACAAGCCAAAATGGAAACCAAAAATAAAAATAAATCCTAAGCGATCATCAATCTTAGCTATGCTCGACCCCGACCTCTATCAGTTCTTCTTCTGGGACAAATTTTTGCTGGTTCTCGAGCTCGAGCTCGAGCTCAAGGGTCAATACTTGCATGACATCAGTGCTCATTCCCTAAACACAAGTAACATAGCACTGCCTTGCTGCTTTTTGATCACCATTCACGATCCCTATACCGTCTGGAAACTTCATAACAAGATGGAAGGTGGATACAATGACCCTGATTTTATTGAGTAGTGGTCTCCCGATGATGGCATTGTAGGCCATCGAAGCATGGACTACGTGAAAGGGAGTGACTTCTGTCACCTGCTTTTGCCCTTAGCCCAATGTTAGTGGAAGATCAACGATTCCTTCTGGGATGATTGTTCTACCCCCAAATCCCTGGAGTGATATTTTGACTGTCTTGAACTGGTTAACAGAAATACCCATTTTCATGAAAGCCTCTTGGGACGACACATTGGCCGCACTTCCATTGTCAACCAAGACCCTCCTTACTTCAAAGTTGGCGATGATGGCAGATATGACCAAGGCATCGTCATGGGGGTATGATATGTCTTTTGAATCCTTTGATCCAAATGTGATATCTTTCATGTCGTTGGGAGCTGTCATTTGTATGGAACTGTGTCGTCGGGCATATTGTTTGCACCCATTATTTGAATCTTCCCCCGAGGCAATCCCCTCGATTATAAGGTTGATGGTACCTGCTATTGTTTGGTTACCTCCCCCAGATTCTGTGGTCTTTCCATTGTTGCAATCATTCCTGGGATGTTTGTCATGCCTAATATACTCCTTTAGGAATCCTCTTTTTATCAAAGCTTCAATCTCACGTTGCAATGTAATGCAATCCTCTGTAGTATGCCCATGGTCACGATGGTAGTCACAGTACTTGTTCTTGTTCCTGGTCTCAAGGGGAGACCTCAACCTCGGTGGCCACTTGAACTCCTTCATATCTTTGATTTCCATCAATATGTTTGACCTAGAGGTGTTCAAATATGTAAGTGTTGGTGGTGTGCCCTGCTTCTGCTTTCCTCTGGCAAGGTCTTGCTGTAGATACAACTCACGCTGCCTCTTATGCTTGGCCCCATCAAAAGTCGGACCAACTCTCCTTAGATTCAATGTTTCTTCCATATTAATGTATTTCTCTCCTCGGGTCAGAAGCTCGGTCACTGACTTTGGGGGAGTTTTTGACAAACTCATTTTGAATGTTTCACATCTTATAGCATGGGTGAGGGCGGAAACTACTGCTGTGATATGGAGATCGGGGATCTGAAGTCTTTCTTTATTAAACCTCTTCATGAAGTCACGTAGGGTTTCATTTTGCCCTTGACAAAGTTGCATGAGGGAAGTTGCTGTCTTTCTGATGCCCTTACTACTGGCAAAGAAGGCAGAGAACTTATCGGCCAGATCTGAGAAAGAGGCTATGGAATTGGGCTCTAAGGTTGAGAACCAGTCCTTGGCTGCGTGGGTCAATGTTTGAGGAAAAGCTTTGCACATCACCCGGTCTAGAGCAACTTGCAAGTTCATGACATCGGTATAGATATTAAGATGGTTGATAGGGTCTGTAGTTCCATCATATTCTTTTATACGGGGATACTTAAATCTGTCCGGTAGGGGGAATGATAATACCTCAGGAGTGAATGGGGGTGTTAGGGATAAAACCCGTTAAACCTCGAGCATTCCTCTGTAGGCCAGTTGTAATTCCTTCTTGAATGATTCGGGCAACCTCACTGGAATCCATGGCGACCGATCTCGAGCCCGAGGCCATATTGCGAATTCCCGAGGTTCCTACCCTGCCAATTGCAAGGTTGGTGGTCGGGCTCGAGCATCAACCGTAAAACCACCATGCTCTACCTGCGCTGGTGACGGATACGAATTTCTTTGACTTAACAGTTGCGTGAGTGTGGCCACCTGCTGACGGAGCTCTTCAAAGGTTTCGATTGTGACGACCGCCGGGAGAGGTGCTGGCATCTCTGATGATTCTTCTTGAGGGACATGATGACCTTCAAGAGGAGAAGCAGGATCTGGAACGAATGAGCTTGCTGGAGGAAGACCTGAACGTGTATTCACCATGGCTTTTGGTAGCGTTTCCCACAGACGGCGCTAATGATGCTTCCAAAAAATGTACCTGGTAGACCTCCCGTACTTAAGGACTGAAAAGAGCACGAACAGAGCCTTCTGGTACCTGAAACAAAGGCAACGAGGTGTGTTCTCGTTGCCTCTCCGATGCTTAAGTCAGACAGAGAATTTATATGAGAACGTATAATGAAATTGTATGTAAAAGCGTACCTGAATAATGGACTTGGGTCATATATTTATAGAGGTAGGTAGTGTACTTCTAGTAGGATTGAATTAGTTGGATGTTCCTATCCAATAGAGTCCTACTTGATAAGAGTATTTTATTTGTAATATAATTGCATGACCAATGACGTTATTGTTGACATAGAATTCTTGTGGACATAGGAGTCCTGGGTTGAGGTGTTTGAATTATATTAGAGTTTGTAGAAGGTAAGATTTCTTATGGGCTTGACAAAAGGGGGGGTTCGATATGAAGGGAATAGCTTGAGGACTCATGAACCCCGTATATCAAAAGGATGCTCGAGGACTTATGCCCGAGGACATCACCGACCATATCACGATGATGCAAGTCGCCACTCCTCGGGTGTATTACCCCGAGGACTATGTCAGCCCAAGGACTATGTGCCCCAATATGTGATGAGCAAGACCCTGTGAGTCATTGGGAAAATTACCTCGGGAGGTTGCCAAAAGTGACTACCTCAATAGTGTTTATGGTGTAAACCTAAAAGGGAGAGAACACCTGCAAGACCTTTTATGATCTGGGCGTATGCAAGAGACTTGTGAATGATCATATGTATATATGATTGCATACTTTAAAGTGGCAAAGAATCTGGATGCAACTAATGGTTTGGAGATTTAGATTGATTTGGTGTTAAATTATTTATCTAATATGATTTCACAGTTTACTTTGGAATATCACTTGCATATGATGAAGATAGCATTAATTGAGTTAATGTAAGAATTACAAAATGTGACCTGGCTTTCAAGACAACTAGCAAAATTGAAAAGAAGAGGAAGAGATCTAAAAAGAAATCGGGTAATAGCAAAAAGTCTAATGCCGATAGAACACCAAGGGGTAGATCTTGTGAGAAGCCTTTCCGTTCGAAATCATACCTCAAGGTATCTTCAATGATGAGGGAGTCTCAACTCTCAAGTGGCAACCTCAAGGTAGAGGGTCCCAAGGTCTCAATAGTTTGCATGAGCTAGGGGTCGAGCATATGAAGCTAAAGGTCAAGTTCAGGATGACCAATTTTGCACTTACCTACCACCAAGTGAAATATGTTTATCCGAGGTCTAGATGGTCTTCAAAAAATTTTAAACCAAAGGAGGTGTGAGGGTATTATTTGGAGTGACAGAAGAGGTGTAAAGTTGGATCATCCAAGGCCTGGCCTAAGATGTTGAACTAGGTCAAACTTGCCAAAAAGATCTTTTAGCCGAAAATGGTATATGACCAGGTCAGCGGGCTAGTACATATTTCGTAAATCAAAAAAATAACTAGAGCAAAGTTGAGAGGCCAAAAATTACCAGTAATCATAGAACCAAACGACCCAAACCAAGCAAATACAGAACTAATGATTCCTGTGATTAGCAACAAGAAAACATGCCCGGCCAGGAGAGCCCCCACAAGTTCTTTCATAAAATTGATGATGATTCGCAAGGATTAGAAGCAATTAGTAGAGACTTCATCTTCGTCAAAATCACCTCGATCACTCACTTTATTCAAGCTCATCTTATCCCCAAGCATCACCTCTCACTCTTTAGTTTCTTCAGATATGATAATTTGGATAAGAATTGGTGGAGATTTGTGAGGTGGGTTTGCCTTGTTATATATCCACAATCATGATGTACCAATGGTTCTATTGTTCTTTTGAAATACTCGATACCCAACCTGGGCAGGCTCAAACCGAATCAGGCCTGGATAGCACACCCACATTTACTATTGGAATATAGTGGTGTTAATAAAATCGGATTATCGTATATCGTATATGTAGTTTAGATATAGATTTTAAGCATATCGTATATGCAATATACCGTTTATGTAGCTTACCGTATTTGTAGACAGCTTACCGTATATGCTTTTAATTGTATTTGAACATATTTTCTTTACCCTTCCATATATACCATATTTTCACATACTGTATTTTCACTTACACATAGAAATACCAAAATTTACTGAATATATTTTTTTTCAGATTTTTATTTTTAACATAAATAGAAATTAACGCAAATTAATTTTGATAAACATAAATAGAACGATAACATAATAAAACGGGAAATTACGCTAAATAATTAAATCTGCAAGAATAAATTGCAAATGTGTAATCGTAAAATAAATAAATAGTGGATTAATTTTCAACCCGAGGCCTGTGCGAACATAGTTTCCTTAAAACAAATCTGCCCCCTCATTGTAAGTGCTTGAGATTTAATCCGAACATCTGTTTCCTAAGTTACAAAGGTAAAACCTGTAGAATTTGAGCACCACAGATACTACTCTGGCGAACTAACCAGTATTCGAATAATATCACCACAACGACGACGCTGAACAAATATCGAGATGCAGGCAAAAAAAATTGCAGAATGTTTTTCTCCTAATTTCGTGTGTGTTTCTGTATGTGCTGGAACTGCTGAAAAAATGACCTTTTATATAAGTTGAAATCCGTCTATTAACTCCATAGCAATAAACACTGGAGTTGCTTCAATTTCTGAGAGTTTTGGCAGTTTTCGAAAACTCAAAAGTCAGTTGAAGAAAGCAAGAAATTGTAAAACGTGGACACTCTTCATTCGGTACGCAGGTTGCGCCTGCATACAAGTTCAAGGTTCGAAGGTAATTTCGATCCGTGATTTGCACCCCCCCTGTGCGCGCACGTAGAGATAACTTCTATACTACACATAATTACACCCTTTCAAAATGTAATCCTATATAAAGTGGTTCATACTTTCTTCATTTTGCTATGTAAGACTAGTTTTATTTCCCTACATAAATCATCTTCCAATAGTCATCTTTGAACTCCAATTTCTCATTCATCCATTCATCAATTTTGGCAAATAAATATATGGTTTCGATGTTCTCACGGAGGAAAACATGGATTAACTTTGATCTTCCAAATTTGATCAACGGGTCCCACCGAAAATCTTGCCAAAATTGAGTCATTTTTTTCCCCAACATTTACATCTCTAGGTTATCTTCTTGAAAAGTGTTGTATGCATATCTAATCTCTTCTTCGTACTTAAATCCCCCCCCCCCCCTTTAATATTCAAATCACACACCAAACTGAGTCAAATACTACGTTATATCATACAATAGACATTGAAGCACGACAAAAACTTTAGCAGCATGACCACTCCTAATATGAGGAAAGGTGCTTCTTGTATTGTACCTGTTTTCAGTTTTTAGAAGAATTTAGTAGGAAGAATGATTTGTGAAGACCAGAAACAACTTAAGCCCATGTTTGTCTCCCATTTTTTAAAACTCATATTTTCCCAGATTTATTTTCAATTACACATTTCATCAACTTTTATCAAAATCTACTAAAAAAATTCTAATTTTTAAATAAACCAAACAAGGGCTAAATCTGAAGGGCCGGCCTTGAAAATTTTGAGGCCCCAGGCGACAAATTATATACGAGGCCCTTAAACATAATTTTTTTTTTAATAAAAAGTAGCAATACTTACGAAAATGGAGAGAATGCGTCACATGACCAAGTTGAGACCATTTGTTAAAAGTTGAAAAAGAACCATCGATTTGCATATCAGCAATATTGATCTTTATACCAATTTTCCTTCTCAATTCAGCTACGTACTAGATCAAAATCTCAATAGTAAACCTATTTCAACTATATTTAATGTATGTCTTTAGCACAGTGGTTTCACCGGCGATTTAAAATCTCAAATTCCACTACAAATTTGCAAGATCAAAATTCGGTACAAAACATGCAGAAATAATCATCAACATAAAGGAACTCAGACAGTAGCCTAACACGAGACATTTTTTTTTATTTTTTTTTTGTAAACAAAATTATGCCTTGTTTGGTTTAACTAAAAAAGTTGATAAAAATTTAAATCTAAATCAACAATTAATTTCAACATCACATTTTATCAACTTTTATCAGAATCTAATAAAAAAAATGATTTTAACAAAACCAAACAGGGGCTAAATTAAAAAAAGTCTGCTAATAGAAGCCATATCAAATACACTATTAAAGCTAACAACATTCAGATGCATTTCCAGCTAGCAAATGATGCAAAAAGATGCACCTAGGTGTTAGAGGCCCTGTTATATATCAGCTCATTCTGATCAAACCTCTAGCCATCAATTCCCTTATGGCCTTCCTAGCAAGTGATCCACTGATCTGTAAATAAATACATAATTAAATTCAGTAACAATAAACTAAGTCAAACATTGTTATACCAGCATCCCGATAAATATGAAAGATAATCAAGAATGGCAACAAGGATAAAAATAGCATCTAATGTGACTGTCATATAGCTGACTCTGCCCAAGAAATCTAAAAAATTGGCCGCAAGGGACTATTTCAGACAACATTACAAAACCCCAAATACAGATTACATGTATTATTGAAAAATACGACCATTAATTCATTTTCAATAAAGAGAACTACCTAAACCAACAATCTGATATGATTGCGTGAGCAAAACAAAAGA